CCCACGCCTCCTTTGATCCCCGCGGACCCCTCCCGCCGCCTGTCCAGGGCGCGGAGCTACCCCTGGAGCTTCGGCTTCCAGGGCCGCGGGCAGGTTTAGAACGGTGCCTTTGGCAGGCGTGGGGAGGTGGCCCGCCAGTGCCCGGGGTGTGCTGGGGGCGGGACAGCGACTGCTGCACGGGGTGTTGGTTAGTGTTGTCTGGGTGGCATTTGCCTTTCTTTTAGATAAATAGAACCCCATTACCTTGAGCAGTCGATGACATGAGCGGCCGATGACATGTATTCTTGCTGGGGATTTGACCTCTGGTTTGGTCACTCAGAGTTCTGGTAAAGCAGGGTCAAGCAGGACCAAGGAGGGAATTGTCCCAGTGGACTTGGCACTGGGGAGGCCACACCTTGAGCACTGGGTTCAGTTTTGGGCACCTGCGGGTGTTTAAAAGCTGTGTGGATGCGGTGCTTGAAGATATGGCTTAGAGGTGGACTTGGTAGAGTAGGGTTAATGGTAGGACTCGATGATCTTAAAGGTCTTTTCCATGCAGAGTGAGTCTGAAAGCTCTGAGGCTTGCCAAGGTCAGTGATAATGTAGCCCTCGTTGGACTGAGTGTAAAAAGCACCCCAGGAGGGACTGAGTTTACAGCTGTAAAGTAATATTTGTCCTGCTTTTCCAAATCAAATACAGAACCCAGATATTTTGAAGACTAGTTAAGGTGAAAACCTGATGGGAAAGAAAACAGGTTATCCAGAATGTGTAAAAAAAGAAGGGGGGTTGTTACTGTTTTTCATACCTGAAGGGAATTCTGTGTCAGTATTGACAGGATACTGGAAACCAGTATTCATAGAAAACAAATATAAGGAAAATGAATGGGTTAGCATTTTTAGTAGCTTTTTAAGGGATCCTTAATCGACCATTTTTGCTTTGAAGGTTTTCTGAGCAGCACGAGTTCAAAAAGCCAAATGATGAGCGTGCTCTTCACCTGATGACCAAGTGTGCCCAGACAGTGATGCAAGAATTAGAGGATATCACCATTGCTTATGGACAGAGTGATGAATACAGTTTTGTTTTCAAAAAGAAGAGTAGATGGTTTAAAAGGAGAGCAAGGTAACAGCTGCTTTGATACCAAAAGGAACTCATTTTTAACATCTTTCTCTAAACCTGTAGTCCTTTAGGTTTGCCTTTATTTGCACACAGAGGTTAGGAGCTGTGTTTGGGCACACACACTACAGTTAGTTCAGGTCCTTCATGATCTATGCATGTGATCTTGCAAGGAGAATATGTTTGGTGATACATAGTTTTTAAAAAAGGGATAAAACCTTGTTGTACCAGATTTTTTTTAAATAGTGTTTGTTCTCTTTTCCAAACTCTTTTACCTAATTCTCAGTACTTCCTACTAAAAAACTATGCCCTTGCTGATCTCTTGGGCCATTATTTAGGGAATGCTGCTGTCCACCAGGATTATCATTACTGACACTTCAGATAATCACAAATCTATCATCATGTTGATGTATTTCTTTCTTTTTTCTTTTCCTTTTCTGTTTGCAAGTAAGTTCATGACTCACGTGGTCTCCCAGTTTGCCTCAAGTTACGTTTTCTATTGGAAGGATTACTTCAAGGACCAGCAACTTCTCTACCCACCAGGATTTGATGGACGAATTGTGTTGTATCCCAGCAACCAAAATTTAAAGGATTACCTCAGCTGGAGACAAGCAGATTGTAAGCATTTCTAGAAAACAGAGATTTATGCAGTTGAGTTCTCTTCCTCTCTGACTAGAAATACCTCTATTGCCAGTGTATTTGGTATTGATGAAAGAACAGCAGGTAGGGTGGTAGCTTTAAATAATGGAATTGTTTTGGGGTCTGTATGGGTACAGAAATACTGGCTGAAATTGAGTCTTCAAGCTACAGTAACATTTGCTGCATCCTTGGAGTGAGTTTAGCAAAGGAGATACTGGAATTATTAATAGAATTAATGCATTATTTTTTATATTCTGGGTTTGTTTAGCCAGGGTACTCTATTCAAATGATGAGATGTAAATGTTCAAATTCACACCATGTAGCAATCAAAAGTGCTGTATATTCCATGCTAGAACAGACCACTGGATTTACTTTCTAGGCTTTTGTTAGTAACTAGTCCCTGTTGATCCAGTGAAGATAGTTTGTTACACACAAACACCCTTCACCCCCTGCTCTCCCTTCTCAGAAGTATAATGAAATCTATCTTCTGTTCATTCTTATGATACGTAGTATCTTAAAAATGGATCAGAAAGATTGTATCTTCTTCAGCAACTCATTAATTCATCTTTATTCTTGGCTGTTTACAACTCATATTATTAATTCATCTTTATTCTTGGCTGTTTCTTGGCTATTTCTAGAGTCCTGGGTGACTCTAGAAATAAAGCTGTTTTTTCTGAGTAGTCACCCAGGTTTGGTAAATACTTTTTCTCTTTTTCTGTAGGCCATATTAATAACCTTTACAACACAGTGTTTTGGATGCTCGTGCAGAGAAGTGGTTTGACACCAGTGCAGGCCCAGGACAGGCTTCAGGTAAGAGCCCCTGCAGGCCACGTGCGTTGTTTTTTCTGGCTACAAAGAAGACTGTGAGATTGCAAAGGTGTGTCTTGCCTACCCAGCAGTCCTGGCTGGCTCGTCTGTCCTTGCTGTAACAAATTTGTGGGTGTAGATTCAACAACTTCTGGAATTGTACAGATGTTAATATGACTAGCAAGTAATAAGTTCTTGTTCAAACGTTAGCAAGTCTGGAAATCTTAGAAATATCATCTAGATGTCCTGTATCCATCTACATGAAATACAGTAGCACGATTCAGCTAACAGTGATTCCAGGTCCCTTCTGTAGCATTTTGTTTGATTATGTGGACTTCAGCAGGTTATTTCTGTTTTCTCCTGGAGTCTACTTACTTTTTTCTATTTGTCTTGAAAATGTAATTAAAAACTTATCTGTCTTAATAGCCTCATTTGGCAGCTGAAAATAATTCCTCTGCTAGATAGGAATTGTTTCTGTGTTATTTAAAGGTGAGAACCATGTATAAATGTCAGTCTTACTTCCAATATTCACCTGTCTTCTACCCTAGGGATTTTGTTTGTTTGTTTGTTTTCTACAAGAGTACTTTTTCATTTCCTCTCAGGGCACTTTGGCTGGAGATAAGAATGAAATTTTATTTTCTGAATTCAACATCAACTACAACAATGAACCTTTGATGTATAGAAAAGGAACTGTCTTAATATGGCAGAAGGTAAAAAACTGTGTTACCACTTGCTCATATTTTAAATTGGTACATTGCAGCAGACAAGCTACACTGTAAGATCACCAGATGTATCCAAAATGTATGGCTATGTATATACCTATTTTAAAGCTAACCATATTTGCCATATAATGATGTGTAAGTCGACTCATTGTTTTGGAGATGTTTTTGAGATATCTGTATTTATGAGCATAGTATTGTATTTATGAGCATAATTAGTCTCTGAAGTCTGGCTTAGATGCAGATTATGACTGTTGAGATAAAACTTCTATCAACAGACAACAATGTATAACTAGAATTTCACAAGGCTGATGTAGTTGCTGGATGAATCTCCCTTGTTTAGTGAATCATACAGTTGGTTTCTTAATGTTACCAGCTTTGAAAATTGAGGAAGTATTCTGCTTCCTGAAAAATTACATTTTAATGACCATTGTCAGTTTGATATGGTAATCACTGAGGCTGGCACCAGGCCCTTAACTAGATTAGGTCCCAAGCATTGTCACTCCAAAGGAATTACAAACTTTCAGTACTGTAGCTCAGGCCATAGTATGCTTAGTCCTTTTGTACTTGAGTGAAGGAGTATAGCAAGGAGTGCAGCTGATAATGGGGAATTTTTAATGGCAACTTGGAAGTGCTCATCATTCTAGGACTACATTGTTGATTCAGAATTGTAGAAGAAATTCCTGTCCTGAGTTTTACATGAGATGAGACATCAGAAAATCATAAATATCTATATATTTATTTAGACCCCGTCTGTTGAGGGCTCTCCATAACTTTCTTGGTTGTCTTCTATATGTAAAAAATGATAATTCTTTGTTATTTAAATTTTGGGCAACAATTTCTATTACTTCATTTGAACTACTTAGAATATGTGGGAACTCTCAGAGAAATACATTCCACTTGCTCCTTATGCATATTTCTTTTCTTGGCAATTCTGGATATTTGCCATTTTCCCATTTGCTTTATATAGCTCCAAATTAAATACTGTACTTTACTGAATAATACTTGCAGTCAGTTATGTGAATTTGCAGGTAATTTTTTCAAGCCATGTGTTGTGTAGTAGTTTCAGCTGCTTGTCTGTTAGTCTTTGAGTTGAGAGTAGCCTCTATTGCAAAAGATGCAGCGTTCACATTCTGTAATATGCTGTCACGTTGGCAGCTGCTTTTGTTGTAGCTTTGCTTCATGTCCACTTGTGAATCCCCTCTGGAGTCTTACGTGTCTGCTAATGTGCCACCTGTATTTTCAGGTTAATGAAGTCATGACGAAGAAAATAAAACTGCCAAAGGAAACAGAAGAAAAGGAAGTTGAAGTGACCCGGACTAGGACTAAAGTTGTTCCCCTGCATTGTGACATTATTGGGGAGCAGTTCTGGGAGGAATACCCTGAGATCCTGGCTGAGGATAGTTGATCTCTGATGAGTGTTTACATCTTGCACTGCTTGGGCTCTCGGCAAGTGAGAGGGGAATGGATGGTGGCTGGCAGAGTGTAATCTGTAACCCTCTTCAACAATAACACTGGTTTTAGCACTGTTGTTGCCTGAAAAAAAAGACACCGGTATGTTGTCTGACATGCAAGGATATGCCCATATGGAAAACTAAAATTATATCTTGTTCTGACTGGTAAGAACTCGCTGTAAATGAAGACTGCTCCTTCCTTACACATGCATGTCTGTAGAAAAAGTGCATAGAATTTTCATGCATTTCTATAGCATTTAAATCAACTTCCAAACTATAAAAAAACTTGCATATTTGGACAGGTAAAAGCAGAGGAGAAAATAATTATTTTTATTTTTGTTTCAACTGAGATGGACCAGAATACTTCAACTGGCATTTAGTCTCAAATTTCAAGGCCAGCGTGTGTAGTCAGATTAGTGACAAACTGTTCAACTGCCAAATGTCTCTGACATTACAGAAAGGAAACAGAGTAGCACAGCAGTTTCCTATGATTGAGTTTAAAAGCCTTTGTCAAATGTACAGGATTTTTATACTTTTAAAAAATAATAATAATATATGCAGCAGGAAATAATTTTTTGACGTTTCTTATTCCTGAGATTTTTACTGGTAATTGGTGAAACTTCCAAACAGTGAAGTTAATAATAAAGAGACAGTACAGATTTGAGTTCTGTTGGGGCATGGGTAGACACTGTGCTCTCATCTTCCATGGCCTGGGAGGTCACCTATCTCCTTTGGCACTGTAGAGTGGAAAGCAGGAA